TGGTCTCTTGCCCAACTGTGTGAGGCCACGTGGTGTAGTGACTCTTCCGTAGGTCCCTCCCTCATGTTACCAAATATTCGGTTTACAGAAATTCTAGGATACAGAACGCCTCCCATAAGTTCCATTATAAAAATTATCGGGTTACGCAAGAATTTCTGTTATTATGGAGGATTATACATAAGGCAGCTGAGCGCATCCCCGTGTGAGACACCATCTGTGATCCAGTACAGGGTACAGTACATGTTTACAGTATGGAAGGGTCATTTTCCGTTTACAGGTAACTTGACTTACAGATACAGTCCAGGAACGGAACCATCCCGTAAACTGGGAGTGTCTATTTATATACAGTAAAACCTCGATTAACCGACCCTCGATTAACCGACTTTCGGATTAACCGTCAATCCCGGACCCCTAATTTTTTTCTTTTTTTTTACGGGGATTAGCCCACCCGGGCACAGGTCACTGACCCACATCGGGGCCTGGGGGGTGATAATGTAATAATATTAATAATGATAATAATAATAGTAATAAAGGACCATAAAGAAATGCAAAAATGAAAAAAAAAATCAAGAGTGAGAAACAATGTACCTGTATGTGTGTTGTGTTGTCAATAGTAAGAGAAACAATTGAGACCCTGCAATTGTGTGTAAATGAGGCAGAAAGTCAGATTAGCAACCTGGGACTTGGTCACAATTTTCGTGATGCCTTATGTTCTTTGACTGTTCCATTTTTTATTCACGGTTTCTGTGCTGGTTCATTTTTATTTACTAAAGTGGTTCATGTTTCAAAGCAAATACTATTGAAATATGAATGGTAAATGAACAAAAATGAATAGAGGGACATAAATGAGGTAGGTTAGGGATAGGCACTTTGAAAATGTATGTTTTATTTCCGTAGACTTTATTTACTATTACCTAACCGACCTTTTGGATTATCCGTCGGCCCCTTCCTCCCATATGTGGCCGGTTAATCGAGGTTTTACTATACAGTGACCCCTCCGTTAACGAACTCAATCCGTTCCAGAAGGTCGTTCGTTAACCGAAAAGTTCGTTAACCGAAACCATTGTTTCAATGGGTTTTTGGGTAATTGGTTCCAGCTCACCGAAAATTTCCTAAATTCAACAAAAATGGTAGAAAAGTTCACTTACTTTGAGGTGTGTATGTAGAAGGCTCCTGGATGATGATGATGATGATGGGATTTAGAATGGGGGTAGAGGAGAAGGAAGAAGAGAAGGCATTGGGGTGGAAGAAGTCACCCCATGGCGCCATTTCACCCATAAAATTTTAGCTCTCTTGATGTAATTCAAGATTATTTTCTTTAAATCAACACTGCAATGCATTGTATATTGTCAATATGTAAAATATATTTCAAAATGACCAATAATTTGCTTGGAAACACAGAAAAAAAACATTTAGTTGAAGAGAGTCTTAAGCAAGATGTTACCTCCAGTGAAAACAGAGAGAGACTAACTCCTGTTTGCTGTGTTAAGAGGCTGGATGCCGCGCATTAACCTAGTCACTTTACCTTCAATTATGTTCAATAATTGTTAAAATGACTAAAAAATTGAATATTAAACTTTTAAAATTATTGAATAGTATAAACTTCTTGATATTTACTAAAATAGTAAGGAATTTAAGCCCTAGAACCGATTAATGTATTGGCGGACATATACTAAAGCTGGTTGCCCGGTCAGTGCAAGCGAAAACATGTTGAGGTCGGTTCGTAAGAACTTTGTTAACCGAATTATTTTTCGTTAACCGAATTGAAGATCCTTATGGAAGGCAGTTCGTTAATCGAAATTACGTTAACCGAGGTGTTCGTTAAACGAGGGGTCACTGTATATACAGTTAACCCTCACTTTACGCGGTTAATGTAACCCACAGGGTACCGCGGAAAGCGAGAAACGCGTAAAGTGAATAACATAACATATGGGATTAATTGAAATAGAGACCAGGCCGACCCCCAAACTCCACTTTTTGACGACACATAACTATGTTGTAGTAAAAATAACATCTTAATTTTATGATGGTACATGCACACAATTAATACTTAAGAGAAATACAGTCGCCAAATTAATGTCCATTCAAATGATGGACACGACTCTTTCCCCCTCTTCTCACACTACACTGCTGGCTCTTCCCTCTGAGAAATTTTTTGGGGAGAACCAGGTATAGTAATAAATAATACCTCAAACTAAAGTTAGGATAATATAATTGACATTGCTGGATTCCTTGTAAGACCAGGAATATTTTGAATATAAATGTCATATATTTTTCACAAAATATAACATATTTACTCAGATTAAACATTTTATTTAAAATTTGTATGTCTAATGCAAAATATATGATGTTTATATTCAAAATGATCACCAAACTGTAAGAATTCCAGCAATGTAAATTATATTCTGGCCGGGTAATTTGTATGAATTTAATGAGCTAAAACAAATATCTTCAGTTAATAAAAAAAAAAAATTCTTCACGACACTATCTGTCAATCAAAGTACCCCACCTTGCCTCCCCTCCCCTCTTCCAACCGCGCGGTCAGTCCCAACCCTCCCCCCCACCCCCCACCAATCGTCCCTTCAAGAGAAAGAGTGGGTGAAAAAAATAAATTTTAACATTTTGTATTAAATAATACCTCAGATTAAAGTTAGGATAATATAATTGACATTGCTGGATTCCTTGTAAGACCAGGAATATTTTGAATATAAACGTCATATATTTTGCACAAAAGATAACATACTTACTCAGAGTGAACATTTTATCTAAAAATTTTATGTCTAATGCAAAATATATGATGTTTATATTCAAAATGATCATCAAATTGTAAGAATTCCAGCAATGTAAATTATATTCTGGCCGGGTAATTTGTATGAATTTTATGAGCTAAATTAAAAAAATTATACTTCACCCGTGTAAAGGGGTACACCCACCGCGGAATGTGAGCATCCTGGGTTCTGGCAGGGCACCGCGTAAACGTGGAAACGCGGAATGTGGGACCGCGTAAAGTGAGGGTTGACTGTATATATATATATATACAGTGGGGTATGCTATAACGAACGGCTCCTACTACGAATATTCCTATAACAAACGGTTTTACCTATAAAATTGAGAATGCTATAACGAACGAAAATCCTACAACGAACATTATTTAAATTTTTTTTTCCCTAATTTATTGATTTTTATTACAAGTATTAATGATATTCTTTATTTCAGGGGTTTAGATGCATATGTATGCACTTTTTTACAATTTTTACAATTTTATATTATATTTTTCAGTGTTAAGTGGTTGTATTTGGGGGCCTGGAACGAACGAATCCTATAACGAACGAATGCTATAACGAACAAGGTTCTAGAACCAATTAGATTCGTTATAGCATACCCCACTGTATGTATATATATATATATATATATATATATATATATATATATATATATATATATATATATATATATATATATATATATATATATATATATATATATGTATGTATGTATGTATGTATGTATGTATGTATATGTATGTATGTATGTATGTATGTATGTATGTATGTATGTATATGTATGTATGTATGTATGTAGTTGTACCCCACTTAACGCGGTCAATAGAACCCAGAGGGTCCCGTGTTAAGTGAAATCCGCGTTAAGTGAACAACAGAACATATGGGATTAATTCCAATAGAAACCGGCCCGACCCCCAAACTCCACTTTTTGAAGACACATAACTATGTTGTAGTAAAAATAACATCTTAATTTTATGATGGTACATGCACACAATTAATACTTAAGAGAAATAGAGAAATACAGTCGCCAAGTTAATGTCCATTCAAATAATGGACTCAACTCCCTCCCCCTCTTCTCACACTACACTGCCGGCTCTTCCCTCTCTGAGAAATTTTTGGGGGAAAACCACTAAATTTTAATAAATAATACCTCAAACTAAAGTTAGGATAATACATTTGACATTGCTGGATTCCTTGTAAGACCAGGAATATTTTGAATATAAATGTCATATATTTTGCACAAAAGATAACATATTTACTAGAGAAAACATTTTATCTAAAATTTGTATGTCTAATGCAAAATATATGATGTTTATATTCAAAATGATCACCAAATTATAAGAATTTCAGCAATGTAAATTATATTCTGGCCGGGTAATTTGTATGAATTTTATGAGCTAAAACAAATATCTTCAGTTAATAAAAAAAAAATATTCTTCAGGACACTATCTGTCAATCAAAGTACCCCACCTTGCCTCCCCCCACCTCTTCCAACCGCGCGGTCAGTCCCAACCCTCCCCCCCACCAATCCTCCCTTCAAGAGAAGAGTGGGTGAAAAAAATAAATTTTAACATTTTGTATTAAATAATACCTCAGATTAAAGTTAGGATAATATAATTGACATTGCTGGATTCCTTGTAAGACCAGAAATATTTTGAATATAAATGTCATATATTTTGCACAAAAGATAACATAGTTACTCTGAGAAAATTTTTTATCTAAAATTTGTATGTCTAATGCAAAATATATGATGTTTATATTCAAAATGATCACCAAATTATAAGAATTCCAGCAATAAATTATATTCTGACCGGGCAATTTGTATGATTTTTATGAGCTAAAACAGGCAGTCAGGCAGGGTGGGGGGTGGGGCAAATCTAAAAATAGCGTCTCGAGCCAGACACTCACCGCGTATATGTGGAAAAAATCCGTGTTAAGTGAAAGTTCAGCTCTGGCGAGGCACCGCGTATATGATAAAACGCGTTAAGTGAAACCGCGTTAGTAATACTGTATATATATATATATATATATATATATATATATATATATATATATATATATATATATATATATATATATATATATATATATATATATATATAGATATATATATATATACAGTATATATAATTTATTTATTTATTTTTTTTTTTTTTAATAACTTGAAATGGTATATGGAAGTTTGGTATTCCATCATCTCTGTATTTTTATTTTCAGATAATTGGACTCTTGAATGCCTTCACGCCTCAGAAGTCCTTGGATGAATTTCAAGACGTGTACTTAGTAATGGAACTAATGGATGCTAACTTGTGTCAGGTTATACAAATGGACCTCGACCATGAACGCATGTCATATTTATTGTACCAGATGCTGTGTGGTATCAAGCACCTTCACTCTGCTGGCATCATTCATAGGGTCAGTTAATTTGTACAGCTCTTTGTTTTGTAAACAGTGTATAACAGTAAGTCTTTTTGTGGAAAGTTTGACTTGTCTTATTTTAGGCATATTGCCCTTCATCTAAGGATAGTGTATTGTATCATTATACTGTATAGTATCATGATACAAATTAAGATTGAGTGGTGAAAAAATTTGCTATAATGTAAGCATTAAAATTCCTTTTAAATGACATAAAAAAGTAAAAGAAAAAAAAAGATAAATTCTTTGAGCATATTTTTGTTTTAGAAAATTTAGTGGTGAATTAAAATCATATTGAGTGTCACGTTTTATGGTCATTTGCCAGTGGAGAGAATGACAATTGCTGTTTAAATCAGTGCTGTCATGAGCATTCTGTGCTTTCTTCTCATCCAGACCTTGAAACCAAACTTATAGGGTTAACATACTGGCAATGAATGTTAATGACAGGTAGTGTCTGTGAATGTTAACACTGTATGACAGGTACCGGCTGTGAATTCTAATTTATAAGAACTTTTACTCCAAGTCGTAACGGTCAAACAAACACAAGGTCAATTTATCATCAGGTGAACCTCGTGATGAAATAGAAATTAATGTAGAAAGCTCAGGTTGTCTTAGGAGGTGAGCCCAACCCATAGCCATCGTCTTGGGGCTGTCAGACACGGTTAATTAGTCGTGTATAAAGAATAAAGTTGTACATTAAATGAGAGTGTTGCAGGGGAGTGAGCATATTGGACTGAGGAGAAAATAATTTGGGGAATTGGATGTAAGTTACTGTAATGTGTTAGAGGAATGACTCTATGGGGATGGTTATAAAATGAAAATGAGGTAGTTGCAGTAATTGCAGTGTTAGGGTAGAAATACATAGGAGGTAAATGGACAAAATTTATGTTTGATGCTTGAAAAAATTAAAGAAACAGATCTCAAGGACAACCTGTATACTACTGTATATTCATGTAGGTAGCTGAACAAGGAGGGGGGGGGATCAGTAAGTACAATAGTGATTTTGATGGTTTACAAGAATATAAATAATTTTTTCTATGTGAATTATCTGATCTCTGGGTAGAACATGGCATGACAGTGAGGCACACTTATACAAGGACTTGTGATAGCTATTTTTTTTAATAATTTGATGGTCCTTGAAAGAATTGTTAAAATTGGAGACTAATTTCGAAAAGTAGGAACATGTTTGTGACCTGCTGTAGCTTGAGGTGGCTAGGTGATAAGGTAATGTACATGTGATAATTGGTGTTAGGTAAGTGGTTTATAGGGTATAAGTGGTGGTCCAGTGAACCAGTTGACATGCTCTAGTTATCTAAGAGTCAATATTGGTACCTGTAGTTGTATGGTGTGTTCAACAGTTGAAGGGATAGTCTGAAAGGTATAAAATCGAGTTAATGAACATTGCACTACTATGTGTCTATACACACACACATCAGTTTGTTGCACTCAGACTATTTCCATCCATATACTGTAGATATCTTAGCTTTCCAGTTTCAACTTTAATTTTTTCCTTGATTTCTACTTATACAAAACACTGAATGCTATGTATGGGATGCACAGTTGCCTACAGGTATAATGTTCCATCCCCTGGTGGCCTTTCCAAACATGTGGCCAACATTATATTTTTGGGGTAATATTAGTACTGTACTCGAGATTTGTGCTAGGCAATAAGATAGACTATCTGTACAGAAGGTTGGACTGATTCGGACATTGCCACATGTTTGGAAGGCCATCAAGATGTGGAACACTGTACCTGTGGCCAACTGTACAAAAGTGACGCTCCCTCTAGTTACCAGTAATGGAGCTAAAACTTCATTATGGCTACTTAATATATTTGATACTGGATGATCTATAAAGCCGAGAGAAGTTATTTGTGCTTCACACACAGCCACTGGTAATGGTGGCTTGGAGTGTGATAGAGGGGTGTGTCATTATCAGGTATTCAGGAAGTTTCTTCAGGGCCACTGATAGTTTCCAAAGTAATACAGGATATTTTAGTTTTAACTTTTATTCCTTCTCTGAAATATTAAAACCCTGTAGCAGATTTGGTCTTACTACAGGTGAAGCTACCTTTGGCCATACCTTTAATATTTAAATTGTCTTTGGTTGTCACTAGGCTAAGCAGCATTTATATATAGTACTAAAGTTAGGGAAAGTTTCACAAAAAAACAACAACAACTCATTTTTAGAGAGAATTCTGAAGGACAATATGGGTCAGGTTAAGAGTGTTCTCCAGCACTGACAACCTTGACTCTAATTGTGGTTTATCTTTTCTTTTCACTCTAGTTATCTTAAAATTTTTCAACAGAGATTAGAAGTTTGTTTACTTTACTAAGTTTACTTATCTTTGTAAATCAGTGTCAAGGTTAAAGGATTCACTTTATATAGTGGTGTATGTGAGAGAGAGAGAGAGAGAGAGAGATTACCTGCTGTTTCAACCTTTCCCTTTGTATCTTCGCTTACCTACAGTATCATTTCCCTACCTATCTTGCAGCCTGTGTATCCCATAACTCCTTACAAATAAAGTGGGAGAAGACTAAAATTTAAAATAGGAAAAACTATCGAACGTATGGCAGCAATACTGTACTTTTACATGATCTATACGAATAAAGAAAATAAAAATATGTAAAGACATAAAAATATTGAATATTTTTGTATGGAAGATAATTGTGTGGGCAAGAATACCTCGTAGATCACCTTTTGTAATGATAAAGTTAATGTTACAAAACTTAGATGATCAATGATGGAAGAAAGGAAGCTTTATGGAGAATAGTTTCCTTTGGTAGTTACATACTGACTGTATGGCAGTGTTCTCTTATTGGACCATATTTGGACAACCATACAACATAAGTACAGTAATATTATATATTTCTTAATTAAATACAACAATATCATACCATTCCTTAATTTTCAATAATCAGTACAGAATAGCACTTGCTGTTTACTGTAAATTCTTTTAGAATTGTCCTCTATTTTTTTTTACATTGCTTGATGCTAAGTAATGCCCTTGACAATACTCTTACTATTTTGCAGGACCTGAAGCCTAGCAATATTGTGGTTAAGTCTGACTGTACACTCAAGATTCTAGATTTTGGTTTGGCTCGGACTGCAGGAACAACATTTATGATGACGCCTTATGTTGTCACCAGATACTACAGAGCTCCAGAGGTTCGTTGATCCCCACTTTCACAAAATTAATTGTCTTCTTAATAACTCCCAACAGTCATAGGAATTAAACATTCCAGATCATATCCTAGACAGTAGAGAGTGGCACATTATAGTCTTACACATTATGTACTCGTGTCAATTAATTTCACTTGTATTAAGTATTTTTTTATAATAATATTACTTTATAGTGTCTCTCTCTAATTTAATAAATTTTTGTTTTAGATTTTTTTACTTGATATGCTTCTCTTCTGTAAATCTTCATGTTTTTAATTTTATGTCTCACATAATTAGTGCCAATTGATTTTTGTTTACAGATTTAAATTGGACCCTAAAGTTTTGTGTGGTTCTGAAGTTACATGAATGAGTTACAAGTACATGAACATATCACACCATTTCAAAGATTGTGGTACTGTAGTATACTGTATCAAACAAGGTGACTGGTCATATGGGTTCGAGTCCTAAAAGGTCCTAACCTAACCTAACCCTGAACCTCGCCTCATCTTCAGAGCCTGGAAGATTCACCTCAGGGCCCCAGTGCTACTTTTGAATCCAAGCCCCTCATTTATCCCTGCCCTTTCACCCTTCTATTTCAGTCTCATTTTTTTCTTCCTGTCCAGATATTTGACTCGGTGGTTTGAATTAAGCCTAATTTCTGTGATACTGCTGAGTTCAATATTAGAGTCACAACACTGGAGCTCAAGATGTCGTTTTCTTAGCTTGTTATAGTCATTAAATATGGCAAAGGTGTATTCAAGCTAGATACTGTACAAAATATGGGAACTTTTGGAAAATTTTATTTTATTTTATTTGATCGATTTATTTTTATCCTCTCATTATTTCCTATGAAATTAAAAAAGTCTGATCTTGTGTCAGCACTGTTTCTGATATTCTTAATCTGTCATAACTTTAAATCAGAAAAACTAACCAACTTAAGGAAAACCCAAATTAAAGTGACCAACAAGAAGCAGCACATTATTATCACAATGACAGTCTTCCTTATCTGTAGGACATTATGCAAGGTGATTTAAAAAAATATGTAATTCTGAGGGTGTATTCATGAGACAGAATAAGGGTATATGACTCTTAAAGACATTATGTGAATACAGTATCACCTATGTATAAGGTGGTAGTGTGATGAAATCTAAGTGAAGGCTTCAGCACATCACACAAGTGACTGTCGTGTACATTTAAATATTCCAGGGGTGTTGCCAGTGCTTATAGTACTGTCTTGCACTCGGAATCACAATCCTTCACGTGTCAGTCAGTACAGTACAGTACTTCTATAGCATCCATTCTGCTTTTTGGTGACCTCACCAGTAACCACAAGTAAAAATCATGGAATTTTCAGTCAGGTGTTCGAGGTGGCCATGGACCTTTTCAAGGTATACAACATTTTGCAACCTCAATTCACATAAAACAAATGACAGTATGCTGTTCTTCTGTGGAGCAAGTCAAAGGTGATGCGGCCAAATTTACAGCACAATTATAAATGAACAACCGAGTCCTATGAGGCAGTGATCTGTATGCTCAGTGATTCCACTGTTACAAACTGTCAGCAGTGTGGAAAATTCTGGAAATTGTAGTAAGAATAATTGACTATCTTTCAAGGATTACAGCAATGCAAATTATATACTGCCAAGTCAATTCAGTGACATTTTATAAGGGAAAACTAAAAATCCTTCTCCATGACAGCTGTCAACACGTCAACATCACCCCTCCTTCCCTTCCTCACAGCCAGGGTGAAGGCAGTTTAGGCTTAAAGTTTTTATCTTATAAAATGTTGCAGACTAAACTTAGTAGAATATAAATTACACTGCTGGAATCCTTGTAAGATTGTGATTAATTTGAGTATAAAAATCACATAGTTCAATTTAAGTTTCTATTGGTCCACAGTGCTTTAGAGACCGAGGAGGTGTATAATTAGTGGGTCAGAGGTGTATTGTTGAATTATTATTACCTGACCTGGGTTGGTCCTAATCTGGCAAGGCTTTGGAACCGGAAAATCGGTGGTGTACCTGTATTGGTTTTACAATTATACTTATTGGTTACTCCAAATCAGCTGTACATATATATAGCAGATGAAGAAGAACCTTTGTGTTTTTCAGTGAGGCCAACCTGTTTATTCTATAAAGTCTTCAAAGTAGCTGACCCAGTGAATGTCTGGCACATTCACCCCATCACATCATCACAGTTATTAATTTTACTACAGTATACCATATATAGTGTGGCAATTCTGTAGTGTACTTGATAGACTGGTTTCACATTTGCTTGTCTTTGACATTGAAAAATTATTTAAGGGTTAGGTTAACTGCTGAACCTAAGTTACTGACCATGGTGGAAATAATGCTGCATGTACACATGTTGTGTACACATCTTGGACATGGCAGGGAATGAGAGGCTATGTAACAAAACTTAATCCATTTAAAAGTTCTATTTACATTTCTTTCCTTTAGTACATTTATTAGATAGATACTGCATTTATTATTATTGAAAATGAAGCTATGTTGGTATTATACTGTATGCTGAAAACATTTATTCAAGTGGTACCCACTTCCTTTGACCCTAATGTTTTGGTACCTTATAGACCCTCTTTCACAGGCTTTCCTCGCCTCACATTATCCTGACACAACCCTTAGATTTGAGGACCCGTCCTATCATAATGGGTTAAGTTGAGGCTTATGATGACTGGCATCTAAAAAAGCCCATTTGATGTTCATTCTTTAAGATGAAATAAGCTTGGTATTATATCATGATAATTAATATCATCATCAACATCATTCTCATCATCATTGTTATACAGCCATTTTCCATGGTTACCGTATATCACGGCCTATAAGACGAAATTTGAACATTAAAAAAATCTGCCCAAAGTTAGGGGGTCGTCTAAACCACCAAGTTTAAAATTCTTACCTCTTAAATATTGTGGTTTAGTGTGTCAAGAGTGGTGATGAAAACATCGTAAGCCACTCACAATGTCTTACCACTAATTATTTTATACTGAAACTTACGTTTGGCAAGCTGGATTCAAATTAAGATTACCGGTATATTAAAATAATAAAAATGTATTATAAACCTGTCTAACATACCGTAAAAGAGATTTATACCCCTATAATAAACACAGCTATCATCACACACCCCTCCCCACGCCCCCCCCCCATTTGCCAGTGAGGAGCCGTGGAGGTGGTCAGTAATGCATACCGGTATCGGTATATTTACTCATAATAATATTTATCTCCTATAAATAATTGATTTAAATTTTATTTTTTTCCAAAGAATATTCAGTAAATGAGTGCATTAATTCTTGAAACTATCGACGGTTAATTACAGACGCTCAAGTGACGTCACTAGTGTTTACACTACACCAGCTGGTAATATTTGATGCCATTACTTGAAGTGAATTGGCCTTATTTTAAGTAACTAACTATAAATAAATACAAAAATTAAAAAAAAAGATCAAAACTGAGAAATAATATACTGTATGTATGTTGTGTTGTCAAAGTAAGAGGAACAATTGTGTAAGTACGTAATATTTTTTCACTCAAATCCTAATGAAACACTACTGGAGAACATTCCTTTGTCGCAAAACAGTTTATAAATTAAAGAAAATAATTACAGTGTGTTTAATATATTACAGTATATTATAAATAAATAAATAAAACAAATAATTCGGTAAATCTATTTAAAGTAAATGGAAAATAAGCAAACATGTTATTTACCAAGACCCTTCCGTCTGGCTCAGGGTGAGATGTAGGGGAGATAAAGAAGGCTATTTATAGCCCATCAGAAGTGACCAGTACCCTAATGCACCATAAATAATTCATTGAACATTCATTTTTTGTACATAGTATATTCAGTATATATATATATATATATATATATATATATATATATATATATATATATATATATATATATATATATATATATATATATATATATATATATATATATATATATATATATATATATATATATATATATATATATATATATATATATATATATATATATATATATTTGTGTAATAAATGTATGTAGTAAGTACATACTGGTAACCTTTTTCACTCAAATCCTAATGAAACACCACAATTAGAATACGGTGGTTGCTGTTGAACCACATGTTGTATAAATAGTCACACCACCGAGACGAGGGAACACTCCCAACACGCTTCAGTGACGTCACTAGTGTTTACACTACACCAGCGGGTATAATTTGATGACATTACTTGAAGTGAATTGGCCTTATTTTAAAAAATCAAGGATGGTTGGTAAAGGACTACTGAGTCAGTGGGTAAGTGTCACATTTGGGGTACTGGTCTTATACAGCAAATAGAGCTCAAAAGCTACTTTTTAAATGGAAATTTGGGGGGGGCGTCTTATGCACCCCGCCGCCTTATAGGCCGTGATATACGGTATGTGGGTTGACCTTGTTAATAAAATTTATAAAATCATTAAATTATTATCATAGTAATTTCTAGATAAGTTATCTAATTGTCTTGTGGTAAGACAGCCAGTGTTTGAGCATCACCCGGAAGTCAACAACTGTACTGTACTATATCAAATAACCATAACCTGCCATATAAGAACATAAGAATGGAGGAAACTGCAGGGGGCCAATTGACCCACACTGGGCAGTCCCATTTATACCCAACCCCTAATACTCGTATATCTATCCAACCTATGTTTGAAGCTATTCGAGTAAATAATGATGTTTGGTAACTTGTTCCACTCATCCACTACTCTATTTCTAAACCAATGTTTACCTATTTCGCACCTAAATCTAAATTTGTCTAATTTTAAACCATTGTTACGAGTTCGTTCCTGGTTGGGTAGTTTGAGTACTTTTGTTATGTCACCTTTGTTCAGCCCTGATTTCCATTTATACACCTCAATCATATTGCCCCTCACTCTACGACTCTCGAGGGAGTGCAAATTAAGATTCTATAACCTGTCTCTGTACTCGAGGTTCCTAATGCCTGGGATTAGTCTTGTCATTCTCC